AAAAACGTTTTACGCCTTGCCGGTTGAACACGTGAACCCAACCGTTCCAGTGTGTAATGGCACCTCTGCTCGAAGTGTTTCGCCGATCGACAACACAATGAATAAGTGATACCAGACTCTGTCGTGCCATAGTCCAGATCTGACCAGCATGTTCCCACAACTTATGCACAATCGAACACACGCTGTATATTTAAGCTAGAAACGTCTGTTGGAAACCGTTGCCTTATTTCCATGTTTACCGCGGCGCATTTGATATTTTATGACACAACGACGATTGCAAAGTCACGGGATCTTGGATTGATTAAAATTTTATGATCATACCGGAGTCTTCGGGGTCATCGGAGCAATTGGATGGAAATTGAAGGAGATATTTAGTGGCTCGAAATGATATTTCAATTATTAGATTTTGTAGATCTTTCGATGAAACGATTTGTGTATATTTGGGTCTAAAAGTGTACAGAATGCACACGCAACGTACAAAAATATGCAGGATATTTAAAATAGAATAGATTAACAGATGAAACATATTTGGATTCTATTTTTTTAAATTAATCTATTTTTTTAGTATAAATGAAGGTGACAATAAAATTACATGAAAATTTAGAGTTTGTTAATTATAAATTGAATACATATGTTTATGCATTTATGAGAAATTTAGCCATGTAAAATGACATAGGATGTACACTATATGCAAAAATATACATACGTAGTACATAAAGTTTAAAAATTTAGAAGATTTAAACGAGTTTACATTCAGTGTCAATTTTTTCACTTGTGTTCATATAATTTGTTATAAACGATCGTATAATTGCTATAAGACCTTAAAATGACAATTAGAAAAATAGAACTTGAATAATTATATTATTATATATATTATATATATAACATAATATATTATAATATATTATAATATAATGCGTTATAATATATATATATATATATATATAACATATTATAACACATTATATTATATATATATATATTATAACACATTAAAATGACAATTAAAAAAATAGAACTTGAATAATTATATTTTAATAAGAATCAAAATGAAACTGAAAGAAACATTGCAGCCTTAGAGCGACAATTGGAAAAAATTAGGCAGAATCTGTCTAATTATTTTTTTCAATAAATTTAAAAATAAAACGAAAACACAGAAACTACGAAATACAGAATCATATTTCTGCAACAATATTTTTAATTCCAGATTTTCATTATTTAAAAAACAATGCTTGCAACAATTAAAGTTGGTATAATTCTTCTTGAAAACAGATTATCGAATGAAGAACAAAAAGAATTATGATAAAACATGTTAATTTGGTATATTAGTAACATTCGAAATGAATTTCAAAACGAATTTTATGCGTTTGTTATTTCACATTCTCGATAAGCCTGCTTTTAGCATTTTCTGTCCGCTTTTAGGCGAACGAAGAAAAGAAACAGTGTTTGTAATAATTTATGACCGAAAATGGAAAAATATCAAAGTGTGAGATTTCGTTGATCGATACCGACGTTCTTCCTATATATCATACGAGGAAGAGTGTTGTCTTCGTTCTTATTGCAAGATTAAAAAAAGAACGTCTACGTAAAATGTGCTATATTATACCGTCGATCGATGTTTCCATAAATTCTCATAGCTGTATTACTTCTCCGTCCATTACGTGCGATATCGCTTTACAGAAACGTAAGATACGCCGGTAAACTGTTAATGAATGAACAATAATTGTTACGGTGCGAAGCTAGTTGACCTAATTTTTACTGCAATGCAATATTAATTTATGATCAGCTGCGTTAAATGTGTTTAATCGCGACAAGAGTTCCTGAAATTGCACGTGAAAGATTAAGAAATAATTGGACCCACGGGTATACCGTTGATCTTGTATACTGTGTTTCAGCATAGTATTATGTAGTGCTTTAATAAATGTTACAACACATCATGTAACACATTCGTCCCATTTATAATGAATTATTTGCATGGCATGTATACATTTTTATTATATTTTTTATAATATATTTTTTTAATGTATTTTTATATATTTTATATATAATTATATTTTATATATTTTATTTATTTTATAATATATTTTTTAAATGTATTTTTCTATATTTTATATATAATTATATTTTATATATTTTATTTATTTTATAATATATTTTTTTAATGTATTTTTCTATATTTTCTATATTTTATTTATTTTATAATATATTTTTAATGTATTTTTCTATATTTTCTATATTTTATTTATTTTATAATATATTTTTTTAATGTATTTTTCTATATTTTATATATTTTATTTATTTTATAATATATTTTTTAAATGTATTTTTCTATATTTTATATATTTTATTTATTTTATAATATATTTTTAATGTATTTTTCTATATTTTATATATAATTATATTTTATATATTTTATTTATTTTATAATATATTTTTTAAATGTATTTTTATATATATTATATATATATAATTATATCTTATATATTTCATTTATTTTATACTATATTTTTTAATACATTTTTCATCTGCAAAATGACAGTTATGACCATCACCTTGTCCTTAGATTTCAAATTGAACAAAAAAAAAAAAAAAAACATACATTAAATAATAATCTTCGGCTCGTAGCCAACTGCAGTCACCGAGAGAAGAAACACGATTCAGGAGAACGACGGGAACGACATTTCACGATCGTTTGTCTCCAAACCCCATATCCAGCAAACGACGCTTTAGCAGAGGATAAAGCTATTTGAGATAGTGGCGGCCCCGATAGTAAAAGAGACCAGCGATAAAACGTAATATAAAGAGATAGCTCGCCAAAAAGTAACGAATGGCAAGAACACGGATGAAACGTTGTTGGCTTTACACGTAGTTGGCCGATAGCGATTCTTGTCACATACATTACATACATACGTTATCGTGAGAAACGTCTATCTACGGACGAGCCTTGGAAAATCGCTCCAAGTTTGGCTCGAGATTCTCGCGTGACGATCGTCGTCCCTGAAAGTGCACCTCCTTCTGATTTTGATCTCGAGAACGTACTAGTATATACCGATGCGTTGCTTCGAGTCTCGCCGGTGTAACTCGAACCGTGGAAATGCGGCCGAAGGGAAATTCTTCTCATAACTTTCCACCGTGTTGATAAGACTTCAACGATTCTCCTTCAAATTTATTGTTTGCCTTTGCACGTGGAGGGATAATCCTGAGGCAATTTTTTGCGTAGAAAATTTAGCGTGGAAGATGAAGGAATGATTTTGAAATAATTCATTGTATAATGTTTCGAAGGAGATACATTGTATAATCTTTTTACGGGAGGTTTTATTGTCTTTTCGTGGGAAGAAATTTTAGAATAATTTAACTGTCTGGATAGTTTAGAATCAGTTTGTTTCTAGAATCATTTTCTTGACTAGGAGATTTACTGTTCTCGTGATTTTTATAGAAAAGTGGACAAATAATTGAATTGATGAGTTGTGCAAAACGGTGTTTTCTATTTGGAAGGATAGCTTCAATTTTTGTTTTTACACTGCTGCTCCAATTTAGATGCCATCATGCTAATCCAGAAATATATATTCATAAGTTTTTTATAATTATTTTAAAATAATTTTTTTATACAACTTTATGTAAGTTTTTTTTATAAAACAAGTTACATAAAGTCCTTGTAGGAAATTTATTATTTCGAATTTTCGTATGGGGAATTTTAAAATAATTCTCTGTGCAGTCTAGTACAGCTGTAACGTCTGACGTTAGTAAATCACATTTTTGCAATTTGTCGATGAAAACGAGAAACACGATGTAATTTTCGATGTAATTCACGTAGCCTAGCTCAATTGCGTGACTCTTCCTTATTTCTTCAGATTTATGGGGTGATAAAAATCGGAGCGCATGCTCTTGAAAGCTTGAAGTATTGTACAAGGAAAATGTGAATGACTTATTGGCTCGTGCAATCGGTCCCTGTTACAATCCACGTGTTACGTGTGGCGTTTTTATTTGATTCTTCTGAGAAAGGCTAACCACGCTGTGAGAACGTGGTACAACATTGATCTTTAACCGGTTGTTAATTCCTTTTTTTCCTCTTGCCCTCTTAACCGTTGTTATCTCTTGCAATAATCCAACACATCTTCGACTGTGTACACCATGCCCCAGTACTTTAGACTTTAACTTTCCTCTGACTTTTCAAATTTTTTTCAAACGGTCATAACTGTTCTACAAGTTGGAAAATTTTGAAAAACTTTCATATCTTAACTCTTTGAATCCTTTGCTTGTTATCAAAATGATCAAAAATCTAAAATTTCTAATACTGAATAATAATATACATTCAACAAATTAAGAATGTATTCAACCTACTATTATATATTTATAACTGTATAATTATATAATTACATAACGTATTGTAATATACTATCCTCTTTGACCCTTCTACTATTATATATTTATAACTATAATTATATAATTATTTACATAACATATTATATAGTTTAACTAGTCTATATTATATTATTACTTTTATTTTTTATTTGATTATATATATATAATATAATGTGAATATATGTTATTATATATTTATAACTATAATTATATAATTATATAATTTACATAACATATCATATAGTTTAACATATAATATAGCATTATAATTATAATATAACAATAAAATAATATATAACTACATCATATTTACAATTATTATAATAAAACAAATTGATAAAAGATTAAATAAAAATTTAATTTCGAATTTAATTTGATCACCCGTGAGATATCTCTTTTATCGCGTAAGAAATTAGTTTCACTATACTTCATATCACATCTATGTTATTTGAAATAATCACGTTTCCTTATTTAAAGAACAATGATTTTCAATATGAAATTTTTTTCCTGTGCTACGTTGTTTTTCTTTTTTTCTTTTTTCTTGCTCACTAGTTCAATTAAGATACTTACAATTAGATGAAAGAATTTTCGTACGGTGAAATGCTATAAATTTCCTGTGACCAAATTGGTGTTTCCAGCGATCCGGATCGTGCGATTTTCGTTCCCTTCAAGAAAGTGATCCTGGCCTGGTGTACCACTTGACCCGAGCCACCGAGCAACCTCACGACTCCCCGAATTCTGCTGTCTCAGTACACCATGTGAATCGAGAAAGGAAACGATGAAACACGTATGTATGCAGGTACATATATATATGTACACACGTACGTGCGCGCGATCTCTGGTGGTTTCTCAACGAGTACGTGACACTTCTTTTCACCATACTAATCCACGAAACGCCACTTGACATACAAAGAGGAGAAGAAGGGTAAGTTCTCGATAGAGAGAGAGAGAGAGAGAGAGAGAGAGAGAGAGAGAGAGAAAGAGAGAAACGCGTTTAAAGTCGCAAATTTCAAACGACAAATTCGCATCGTCGTTCCGTGAGCGAAACTCCTTTGTCGAATTTCTTTTTCTCTCGTACATGGAAAACGGAGATCTCATTGATTGTACCTTAAAATCGAGAAGAGTATTTGCATTGATTAGGAGTATAATCGTTCGTCTAAGGTTTAAAATACGAAGTTTCGACCTCGATCACCGCAAAGAAAGAATTCAAGACAAATATTCGATGTGTTTATTCGATGTGAGGGTATTCTAGATAACTAGTTACCGATATATCTCTGCTGAAAATCGGCAAATCAGTATTATTATTATCGTTCGGGTCTGTAAATTAATAAATCGTGCGTGTATCGTTGCCGAAGTGATGCAGAGGACGCCGGGTCTCTCGCGATAATCAATTGTTCGCGCAACGATTTCGAACCGAGGGCGAAGTAAGAAACAAGCTCTTTGATTTAAGAGGGTTCGTCACAACTTGTCGACATCGATCTCTCGTCATCGCGATCGCAATGAAGGACTCGCTATTGTCATTTACATGCAACTATATTTTTATATTCCTTTCTACCGGTTTTCATTTTTCTCGAACGAACGAACGAACGTTCATCTATATTTTACAGCGTAGTGTGATATATCCCCGCGAGAGGGGACAGAAGAAGAGAGAGAGAGAGAGAGAGAGAGAGAAAAAAAGAAAAATACGTATTCAAAGGACACGTAGCACGGTAGATATATATGAAACTATTTTTATAACTCTTTGAGATCGTGAAGGTTTTTAATTGAAGAGTGGGAAAAGAAGGAACATGCCGGAAGCGTTTTTTAATTATAGCTGTAGAGGATGGCTCCCTGTTGTTGGCTCCGATGTTGTTGATAAAAAGAAAGGAAAAGAGAAAAAAAGGATACACGGATTCTTTCAGTTAGTAACGAGGCGAGATATTGTACATATATTTTCAGAGTTCGAAGTTCGAGGCTCGAATGAAACGATTGTAAAAGAGGAACGGAGAATTTACGACTGTCGTTTTTTTTATAACTACGCTCGCTATGTTGATGTGTAGCAAATAGCGAGGCGAGAGAGAGAGAGCTAACGAGACGATAAAAATCGTTTTGTACGGGAAAATTCGAGACGCGTTGCGAATGTCGGAATTCGTTCAATAAGCGATCGATGTCGCGTAAATGATTCTTCGTGTCGCGCTGTCTACTTTCAGAAAGTTTTCTGATAATTTTTCATCGACAAGTCGCGAAGCCGTGTTCCCGATTTCGCTCAGCGTTTTGCTCGGAGCTCAGTACGCGAGTTTCATTATTTTTTAAAAGAGTTGGAAGAGAGTTCGTCAAGTGTAGTCTAGGAAGAGGAAAGGCAAAATGAATCGCTCGAGTTTTCTTTTTTTTTTTCTTTTTAAAGAAAGGATTAGATAATTACGAAGGATTCTCATGAAGGAAAATCGATATAATATATTCTTCTATATTTTATACACATATTATGTTTGATACTTAACATTTACAGAGCTTTTTGTAACAGATGAAACGAAACGTGATGACACGTGTGTCTGAAAATTACGAAACTTTCACGTAGAAATGAATGTACGATACATGTACATAATTTCTTTGCCCGTGGAGATTTATTCTAAGAAGAGTAAAATTCGACTATTTTCCCGATTTTCTAATTAAATTAGAGATAGAAAAAAAAAGTTTTAACTAGGAATATCATATAGTAAAAAATTTATCAATTGTTAATTTAATTAAAAAATTACCTGTCTTTTATTTTCTTTTCATCTTGTTATTCAGTTAGAGATTTTTCTTTGAAAAAAAAAAAAAAACGGATTATGCTACTTCATAGAGTTATGTTATTTAATATTAGAATTACCGACGACTAATGCATGAAATTTTCATTAGAGGCATTAAAGTAAAAGAAAGTATTTAGAGTACAGAAGCTTTTATTCATATATTTTACAAGAAATCATTTAACTACATTGTTTATAAAATTTCTCATAGAAATTATAATTTATATAGTATTAAACTACCAAAAGTTTCATGCAAAAGAATGAAAAATTTTTCAGGAAGAATTATTAATATTTTTGTTTTCAATTTTTATCTATCTATATAAATAATTGATAAATTTATTACTGTATAATAGCCATAATTAAAGGAAGTAACTTTTCTCTAAAAACTTTTTTTTTCTATCGTATTGCCAGTTACAACATAAAATGGAAAAATAGCCGAATTTTTTGGAATTAATTTTACTCTCACAAAGTGAATTTCCGCAGGAAATCTACTTGCTCTCTACTATCTACTTAAAGTTTCATAATTTTCTGAATTTCCGGGTTAGTGATCATCCCTTTGAGAGATTAAATTGAAAGGTAATTGATTTACCTTCCTAAAGAATATATTTTACAAGTTGTCACAAACGATCGAATCGATTATTTATATATAAAGTATAAAACAAGCCGATCACAAAGACTACAATCTCTCAAACAAAAATACGTTTGAATTTAAAGTTATAATTGTATCATACTTTGAAAATATTCAGACTGATTCTCCAAAATATAATATATAGTAAATTATAAGACATGTCTGCCAAATATTATTTTTTTCAAAGAAGGGGTACATTTTAACTGTACACTGATAGCATTTTGACTTTCACTTTATAAATACAATAAAATTCGTAAAATATCCACAGAATTGCCTGGATGTGCATAAGTATTTAGACACTTTTGAATTATTGCAATATAAAATACAATTCAAATGAATCTCTTTGACATATGTTGATGAAAATAATAGTTAATATTATAATAACGAAGTGGTTGAAGACTCTATAGTATGTTTTTATCATTAAAATTTTAAAACGATTAGGAAATAACACGTTGAAAATAATTTATACAGATTTTTTTCTGAAATTGATACGAAGTACCAAGTAGCTATTTTCTAAAAATGAATGTGAAAATTGAAAATAAAAAGAATTAATGTTAGAAAAATGTTCATCAGTCATAATTATCGAAACATAATTAGCAAAAATATCAGCTTTTTAATAGAATTATATTATACCAAATGTCTAATTATTTATGCATGGTAACTGGTATAGTATATTGATTTTCTCAACCAAAGCTGGGTAAAAGATTATTTTAGATAACAGATAGGAAATAATCTATTTTATTCTAAATTTAACTTTAAAAATAAAATATTTTATTTGTTACAAGAAGTTTCAAAAATAGTATTTTAATTGAAAGGTGCTTTGAAATATTTTATTTGTCTTAATTTGTAACTTGTTTCAAATATTACTGAAGATAATGACATACATTCGATATTTTTCAATATTTCTTTGTATATAATAAAATATTAATAATATATTAAAATTGTAGTTAAAACAAACCGAAAGACACGTACTGTGATACAAAACGTTTCTTTGCATAATTATTGTGATGTAGAGATCTATTCGTAATATTTAAATTAAAAAATTTCCTAAACCAAAATAAAATATATTAACATGTTATGCTGTAATGTTTGGATTAAAGAGCAAGATACAATTACGAGTGTTAGTGTAAATATTTCATTGTTTTTACAATGAAGTATATGTTTAAAATATAAGATTGAAATATTTTATTCTGTGCTTCAGATTGTTAAAACAAAATATTTCATGTCCTGCTTAAAATACTATTTTATTTGTATGATCGTAAATATCTAATATTTTTAATAGCATCTGAAATATTTTTTCTCCAATGTTTTTTCGTCCAGCTTTGTTCGCAACTCAATTAAAAAAAAAAAAAAAGACGAACCTGAAAAGCTTGACATGTTCTGTTCAATTTTCAATTGCATTTTATTCAAATCATACAGTATTTAATATTACAAAAAAAAAAAGAAAGAAAATAGTATCTAAAATATTTTTTTTTCGAATATTGTTTTTACCCAGCCCTGTTCGCAACTCGATTTAAAAAAAAAAAAAAAAAAAAAAACGAACCCGAAAGGTTCGACGATATCCCGTTTTTAATTTTCCGAATTTCACTTTCCAATTTCACAAGCGGACTCGTCTCCCGTTGTTCTCTCGACCTAGTAACATCTGTTACGAGCAGCTCTGCGCATAGTGCATACACCCTGCGAACGCGTTGTTAAAGTGACAATATCGATTCCTCGTTGCGACTCCGGCCACGGGAAGTGTTGCCACGTGATAACGTCTCGACGATGATAATCAAAACTATCAGCGAATCGACGTGTTCGCCGCCGATCGATGATGGTCTTGACGGGGCACAGAGATTCACGCGCGGCCCAATTATATACGTGGCTGCCCGATCCAAACACCACCTCCTCCCCTAACTCCCCCGCCGCCGATCAAAGATGTTCGCGTGATCACGCGAAACGCTCGGAAACACTGCGTATTCTGCACCATCGCGTGTACGTATGCTCGAAGAAATATAGTGCGTTTGTAAACTCGGTTGGAAGTTAGCAGGAAACGTGTTTTAACCGTTAAAGCCGATTCGGCGAAGCTTGCTGTTAGTCCGAGAATGATTGTCTTGTATGTACCTTGTCTTGCAATTGGTCAAGCGTCGTTGCGAAATGCACAGGTTGTGATTAGAAGTCTGGTTGGTACGAGATGATGAGAGAGATGGAGAGAAGGAGAATTATCTTGTGGGTATCCCCGGTGCGTGGCTCCGTTTTGGAGCAAGTCGAAAATTGTTGGAAACTAAAGATGGATAACGCGAGTACGCACCTATGCGCTTTCGCGTGGTTTTATTAACTCTAAGAATATCGTTGTACGATACAATTTATATTTGTTGTTCGTGTTTATTGTGTCGTATAAAGTGGTCTACGCGACTGGAACAAGTACACTTCTTTTCTGGTTGTAATCGGAACAATATTTTACGACTATACAGTTTTTGTATGTACTGTTTCTTAAGTGCTGTATCTAAATAAACAAAAGATTATCGATTGAATGAAAGACACTTGAAACAAAACGTTTTATCAAAGAAGATCAGACTTGTCCCGGTTATTTGGATCACTTCTCCTAACGAGGAGTAATTAGAAACTGTTCGTTATTAACCCTCAACTGGTATTCTCAAGCCACGTAATTAACCACGCTAATTTAAATTAATAAAAACAAATAAAAATTAAGCAAACGTAGTAAGTAACGATCTCAGCGATATCAGTCGAGGATTAATACCCAAAGATTGTTGGAAATCGCTCTTTATTCCAACGCGGCCGGTGCTCCGTTATATTCTTGTGACTGTATGAACTTAATAAGTTTTCAACATCGACATCCCTGAGAAGATTGAAACTTCTTGTTCCAAGAAGATCTCACGCAACTTCGTTTTCGATTGACGTTTCCGCGTGGAGTCATCTCCTTTCAGTTCAGTGACGTTGCTTCGATTTTCCATTGAAACGGAAATACCGTATACGCGCCGATGTCGATGTATCAGTTACGTCGTTGTTCCACGGGTTTGAAACTACGACTGCGCTATATTTCTTCAGTACCGGAGTACGTCTGGTACGTCCGTGCATATTTTAACCTCTTGCGCTGGAATGACGTGCCACGCACGTCGAGAACTTTTTCTCCCAAAATTGCAACAACATTTTCTCAGTTTTAGGTATATTTAAGTATAACCCAGGCAAAACGAAAAATTAATTTATCACTTGTCAATAATTTCTACATACCGTCTACGTACCGACGAGTTCAAAAAGAAAACGGCGAATTATTGTATACGGTTCGGTCACTCGTTATGGTCCGCGGCGCAGTTGCCAACGCAAGGGGTTAACCTCTTGCGCTGGATTGCACGTGCCACACACGTCGAGAACTTTTTCTCCCAAAATTGCAACAACATTTTCTCAGTTTTAGGTATATTTAAGTATAACCCAGGCAAAACGAAAAATTAATTTATCACTTGTCAATAATTTCTACATACCGTCTACGTACCGACGAGTTCAAAAAGAAAACGGCGAATTATTGTATACGGTTCGGTCGCTCGTTATGGTCCGCGGCGCAGTTGCCAGCGCAAGGGGTTAACCTCTTGCGCTGGAATGCACGTGCCACGCACGTCGAGAACTTTTTCGAGAAATTGCAACATTTTCTCAGTTTTAAGTATATTTAAGTATAACCCAGACAAAACGAAAAATTAATTTATCACTTGTCAATAATTTCTACATACCGTCTACGTACCGACGAGTTCAAAAAGAAAACGGCGAATTATTGTATACGGTTCGGTCGCTCGTTATGGTCCGCGGACCAGTTGCCAGTGCAAGGGGTTAAAGGGAGGGCGAGACACAGACACACAGTTGAAAAGCGGAAACTGTTGTTGAACGAAGAAGATCTAAAGAGGACGTGAAAAAGTGAGAAAAAAGAGAGAGAGAATGAGAGGGAGGGAGGGAGGGAAGGAGGAGAAAGATGAAAGCAAGAGAATTCCTAACCGGAGGCTATACGCGTTATCGACGGACAAAGTTTTTCAATATTTAAGAGGCTATACTGGAACACTCTGTACAATTCGAGCTGTGTGTATACCTTAATCGCTGTGCACCATCCGCGGAGGGACATAATATTTTAACGCGTGTCTGTATCCGTGTCTGTATATCCGTGCATGATAAGCAGTCGCAGTACAATCGTTTTAATCGATTTTAAGCAAAACAGTATAAAACTGACTAACCAACTAACGGAGTTCTAGCTGTTAGGGTTTTAATCAAGCGTCTTCGTTGGTACGGGGTCTCCCAAGATGGTGTCTCATCGCGAAGCGTAATCCGTTAAGAGCCAAAGTTGCATGAGTCTTTGCATGAACTTTATATATTTACTTTAATTTTGTTTTTGAACTTTGAAATGGGTGGGAATTGCAATTCCACGAAGTTTGAATTTATTTTTATATATCGTTAATTCCCGTGGTGCTTAATGGACTATGTCGAAGATTCGTCGATGACGATGAATCTGTCAATCATGTTCGGACCGAACGATAGCAAGTTGATCTTGAATCATTTTATATGAGTAGGGTGATTGGTTAAAATCGGACTCGAAGTGAGATGAATTTGTTTCATTGAATTTTTGGATTTGCTGCTTATGCCAAATATCAATTTTTTTCGAAAATCTATTTAAATTAAAGCTGCGTATATATATATATGTTTACTTTAGGCAACTATAATTGATAAGACCAAGTTGTTCAATCAAAAATTAGTGAATGTATTACCTCTGTTTGAACAATTAAAAGTGTTTTCAACTTGATTTACGCTTGGTTTACACTGAATTTATGCCGAGTTTACAGTAATTCTGTAAAGTTACAATTAAATTTTAATCATTTTCACATTAGTCTGGTTTGGTACATTTTACTCATAATTTTTTTTTTTTTTTTTAAGAGAAAACAGTCAAACTTTATCGAAACATTGCCCAATGTAAACGAGGCTTAACATTGCAAAAGCGTGGAAGCGTTATTCGAATATTTACGTACTATACAGGATGTCCAGAAGTTTATTGTTCAAGCTTTGCCAATGTGTTCTATAGGACTAAAATAGAACTGAAATGTCCATAATTGCTTCATTAAAAAGTTAACTTTCATTTTTTTCAAGAACTTCTCATTGGGACTTGTAATGTGAGAATATTTTTAAAAAAAATTCCATGGTCCATGTTTTCAATAGAACTTATTGAAAAGTTTCATAACATTTTTGATTTCTGAAATATATAGGCAAAATAAATCAATGATTCACAAGTGGCGATGAGATTTGCTCTACAATAAATTCAATAGCGTATTGATAACATAAATTCAACATCATATTGATAATATATAATACTTTGACCAATATTTTAAAATGCATATGTAAATATTAAAGTAAAAAATTTTATATATTATTACTAATAATATTAATATTTAATTTAATTTACAATATTTTAATTTCTAATAATTATTAATTTACAATTTAAGGAATCGAAACTTGGAATTCGAATTTCACAAGACCTTAAAATTTCTTTCATGTAAATTATTAAATTTATTATTTTTAATTTAGAAAACTGAGAAATTTGCATTCGAATTCCACAGGACTTTAGAATCTCTTTTATGTAAAGTAATTAAATTTATTAATCTTCAATTTTCAAGAATTGAAATTTCACAGGACTTTAGAATTTATTTTCTTAATATCAAATCGAAATGATTCGTACCAGCAGCAACTTTTGTCAAATGACATTTCAATTTTATTGTTACCTATAGAACACTAATGAACACGTTTGAATACTGAGTCCCTGGACAGTATTATAAAAATCATCTACGACAGAAACGCAACTGAATAAACGTTCGTCTTGCAAATTTCTAACGCGTAATTCGAAAAAAAAAAGAAAAAAACAACGCTGAAACGTTATTTGTGACAGCGGTACATCCGAGTCATTGCATATTCATAGAAGCTGTGTAGTAGGTAACAACTCTTGAGACTGGTCGCGGCTGATTGTCGCAATTGGAGATAATAACGGTAGTAAAATCAAGGACAAACGTCGCTGGTAATCTCCCATTAGTATCTCGATTCCCAGGGAAACGCAAGTTACTCAACTGGAATTGCATTTCACTACGGAAGAAGAAGGGAGGAGGAACACATGCATTTGCTACGGAGTGAATCGCCGTGATATATACGTACGTGAGACGTTAGTTGATGCGAAAAATCATCGACGTGGAAGTTGCTTCTTACGCATAGTGTCTAGTACCTGCATCTTTGTCTCACATTAAATCCCGAAATCTGGATATTTTCACGCCATTAACATTCAGAGTGTTAAAAGTATTATTATACAGAGTATTATATTAGATAAATTGTTATATTATATAAGTATTGTATGATGTAGAGGATTATATTATATAAAAGTATTGTTATACTTTTACAGAGTGTTAAAGTATAATTACAAGTTAAAAGTATCGTTTATACTATTTCCTTGATAAAAAATACAGACTTTTTTCTTTTGAAATTCTTTCTTTGACAGTATTCGGTGATTTTTGTCGTTCATTAAAAAAAAAAAAAAAAAAAAAAGAAGCAAATAATAGGTTGTGTAATAAATTCGTCACATTTTTAAGGATATTAACCACTTAGGTTGGTATTTTAATCGACAAATGAGAGAGCAGTGAGCGCCTATTTAATTTTTCAGTAATTAGACTGAGGAATATCTTCAACAAAGTGAGCTCGTTTCCTAGAATTGTGTGGAAATTATTGAATACATTAGTGTAGACCTAGCATTACAAGTAAATTAATTCGAAATTCCAACATGACAACTGATAATCACTGTAAGAAATACGTAAAACCTTTATTAAAGTGAAATCGTCAGACTACGAGTGATGCAAAACACGTGATCTCTTTTGGATCAAATTATCATGCGCGAGACACGCTATCCCAATCTAAGTGATTAAAAAGTGTGTATCATAGAAAATAATAGTAACATACATGAGTCGTTTGCATTGAACACGTCGTGTGAATAAATGAAATATAAAGTACGATAAAATAATTATAATTGCAAGCAGAAAGAGAACAGAAAGAGCGTTATATAAATATCCGAAGTACGTAATGAGATTGAAAATACGTAGCGACATATGATATTTAAAATATTGAAGGAATCTAAGAAATTTATCATTACAGAAAATATTGGACCTGTAATCGAATGAAAAAGAACGACTTGAGTTTATTGAAATATTTACTGTTTACTATTAACAGTAGAATGTTGATCGTTTTCGATCAATGAGAAAAATATTGTTTATAATTATATAATTATATAAGTTAATAATTATATACTTATATAATTATATAAGTTAATAATTATATACTTATATAATTATATAAGTTAATAATTATATACTTATATAATTATATAAGTTAATAATTATATACTTATATAATTATATAAGTTAATAATTATATACTTATATAATTATATAAGTTAATAATTATATACTTATATAATTATATAAGTTAATAATTATATACTTACTTTTAATATACTTACTTAATTATATAAGTATACAATTTTAATATACTTATATAATTATGTAAGTATACAATTTTAATATACTTATATAAGTGTATTATATAAGTATACAGTTTTAATATACTTATACAATTATATAAGTATAGAATTTTCATATACTTATATAATTATATAATTAATAATTATATAATTATATAAGTTAATAATTATATAAGTGTACAATTTTAATATACTTATATAAATGTATTATATAATTATACAATTTTAATATACTTATACAAGTATATTATATAAATATAGAATTTTCATATACTTATATAATTATATAAGTTAATAATTATATAATTCAAAGAAACGTAGATGTTGCAAAAAATATATTGGCAAAAAGAAAAGGTTGTTACATAACTATGCATAACTATACATGAATTAACTTCATTACTAACGGTGCGAACTTATCACGCAACCTAATAAATTTATATTGAATCTGAATGTTTGAGAAGCGTTCGTTTGCCATTTTATTTCGTTCATTAATGTTTTCTAACACTCTGTTTCCTAACTTGAAAGACAGAAAAAAAGAAATTATGTTTCAAAGCTTCAGCTTTCGGGATTTGTGCCTATTGTTTATCGTACGTTAAGTTAAGCTATAGAAAATGTAGATAGTTGCAGTTTGCGAAGCTGACAAAAGGTACGATTCTATGAGGATTACAATAGATGATAATTTTGTATCGTTTCTCAATTTCTCACTGAACGCCATTGTCGATAATACTAATATACGATAGTATGATAGTGCTAATAACGATAGGCTGAATTGATTTCACGCTTTTAGTTGATCTTTGTACCTGGATCACGTTGTTCGTTCGTTCGCTGTTCAAACAAACGATTATCGTTCGTTCTCGTGCGTTTTATACGTGTATGTCTAACAAGAAGTATACTAGATGTGTCGTATTAACAGTCCTTTGCTCTGTGATTATTTTTTCATTTGAACATACGAAATGACCCCGACATTTAATAGTAATTTTGAACTCCGCTGCGTTCTTTCGATCGTCATTTTCGATCCATTTATGTCTCTTTAAAATTAAAAGAAACGAAATATGAAAAGATTTTGTGATGGCACGCGTGATATTTCGATTCAGTTTTATGTCGAACATAAATTTATCCTCAGAATGTGATATTCTTATTTATTTTTGATATGTTCCATATTCTTGTTTATTCTTAAAATATTATAAAACCTTTTCGTCTTCGAAACTGTGTAAGAACGAAATAAATAGTAATAAAAAATATTAATAACAATTAAATAAAAATTCGAAGGTCGCAGCAGAGTAAAATGAATTTTTTAAATTTCATTAATTGAAACAAGAACTATCGCAATCCAACACCTTTTTTCTAATTGATTATAAGTTTCTTAAATCATTATTTAATTACATCAATTAATTTAATTGTAGGTCTCTTAATTTAATCAAAATTTTTTATCACGTTTCATTATTATTTTATTCTTACAAAAGTTTGAAGTTTCAATTTGTTGAATCTTTTAAAGGCACTTTCAATAGTTCAGTGATCTGTATTTTAAATATTTTTTGATAAAAAAAAAAAATGATTATAATAACAAAATGGCAATTAAAATAAAATAAAAGCATTTCAGATTGAAAGTAAACGAAGATTTTTAGAATCTGAGAAAAGAAAATCTACTCTTGAAGTTGTATTTAAAATATCTCCAAAAGTGTGAAAGGTATTTACTAAAAAAAAAGGGTTAAGATATCGATATTTTAAAAAAATCGGATATCTTAATACAGTTTAATACATGTTAGTGTTAATTAGCGTACAGTCTAATTTAAAAAAAAATTAAAAAAAAATATTAAATTTAAAAAAAAATTAAAAATGAATATTATTGATAACTCATAATTTATAACGCGAATGCGACTCGATATAATAAAGCAAAGGGTTAGACGTATGAAACAAAATTAAAAGAAGTAAAACGTATTCGTGTCGTCGAAAATCTCTCCTCAATTCCAGTTTTAATTTATTAAATTCTCCAGAAAATAATAAACGTAAATTATAAGAGTGGTCACTGAAAGACTGAATGACATAAAACAAAACTTTTACAAATACATGTTTTTAAAATTTTTTATTATTTTATTTAGAAATATAATCGATAGATTTTTTTCAGTATTATATGCGAATTTTTATGAATTAAAATTTTTAATTAAAAATTAATTTAAAAAAGAATATATATATATTTTTAATTATATATATATTAAAAATTTTTAATTATATATATTTAATAATTATATTATTATAATTAATTATTAATATATATATAATTATTATAAATTATTAATATATATATAAATTAATTTAAAAAATAAATATATATATATATTAATAATTAAGTAATTAATTAATTAAAAAACTTTTCTTCTTTTTATGAATTTTCCATACCACTTAGTTTTTCAGTGGCCACTCTATATTGTAATTTTTCGATTGCTCTGTGTCTTACACTTTTCACGCATTGTTTGATCTTTAATCGCGCAAAGAATGTAACGTAAATCTAAACGTGCAAATTCGTGAGAATGACCACGATAACAGAAAACTTTATCAACAGTACTATGTAGTATCGTATATTATCACCGGGGGCTGAAAGCCCGTGCAATTAATTCCGGTTCAATCTCTTCCTCGTAACACCTGCCACGAGCCGCACGATTTCAGCGTCCGGCAACAACTTCGCGGATATAAAATCTCTCTCGCGTGACTGTAGGCAAATTTAGTTATGCTATGCGAGACGATGCTATCTACCTGTACGTAATATCTTTTGTTCGAAAGAATGATCGAAAACCCGGCGAAACTTGCCGTTTACTGTTACTTCTTCTTTTTTTTTTTTTTTTTTTTTTCTTTCTTTTCCTCCCTCTGCTTCCCTTGTTTCCGAAACAGATTAAAATGGTGTCTGCGATTTGAACGCGACGAACTCGCTCTTTGCCTTCGTTACAAATTCAAGTGGACTCTTCTAGTTTTCAGAAGTCACGGACTCGATGAAATTGGACGTCGAGAATAGCTATTCAAAATCGGAGTTTTGAGTCTTATAAATGATTATTTTACTATTCAATATAAATATTCAATAATTGTTTAAAGATTAGCCCTTCGTTGTTTTGCAAAATATAGTCAGTAAATCTTGAACTTCACCGTATCATAGTACTTGAGAAAAATGAAATAAACACTTAAACGTCAGTTAAGCTGATTGACATTTAAAATTGAGTAAATAAAGATTTAATAAAATTAAATTGCAGGACAAAAGTTTAAAAAAAATCACAAAATTTTGAATTCAAATGATTTCTTTGAAAGGAAAGTTTCATCCTATCTTATAAAGATTTTATAACAAACTTTTTTTAATCAAAAAAAATCACTTTCAAAAATATCACATCTGAACTACTATTTTTTGATAAAAAAAATTTATTATAAATATCTTATTATTATATTACATTAGTATATTAATTTATTATTAATATCTTATAAAGATTTTACAACAAACTTTTTTTTATCAAAAAAATCACTCAAAAATATTACATCTGATATACTACTATTTTTTGATAAAAAAAATATCTTATTATTATATTATATTATATTACATTATAATATACGTAATATAATATTATAATATTATGTAATATAATGTAATATAATTACATTATATTACAATAATAAGATATTTATAATAAAAAAATTTATTATAAATTTTATTATTATATTACATTATATTACATTAGTATATTAATCTATTATTAATATCTTACAAAGATTTTATCAAAAAAAGTCACTTTCATAAATATTACATCTGAACTACTATTTTTTGATAAAAAAAATTTATTATAAATATCTTATTATTATATTACATTAATATATTAATCTATTATTAATATCTTATGAAGATTTTACAACAAACTTTTTTTTTTTTACCAAAAAATAACGTTTAGATGTAATATTTTTTAGAGAGATCCAAGGGAAATAATCGTGGTCCGATTAATAGAGATTCTATTGCGAATTTGCACGAAGTGACTTTTCAAATAAAGATAATCAATTGTTATCTTTTATCTTCATCTCGAATAAAATTTGTCGAACGCTGCTGATTTGCGATGAAAAGTACAAAATTTACTGGGGCAACGAATGTGTTGAATCGGAGCTGCACGACACACCTAATATGCTTATGCGCAGCATTGCGAGACGAACACGTACCTCGATGCCGTATTTAATGCCATTTAAGTACAATAGTAACACGTTCGACCGCGTGCACTTAAGCTCGTTATCACATGCATGTACGTTCGAGATTTTCTAATCTCCTTCTCAAGTCGTTGTGTTTTAAAAATATTTTTCTCGACACGACGTGTGTTAATTGCTAGGAAAATTCCATGGCTCTTTATTTTCTTTCATCTTGAAGAGTAAGCGATTTGCGGGGATGTTTGTGCATTTATTTACAGAAAATTTAAAGCTGCAAACGTATGTATTTATAGAATACATGTCGATGATTCGAATCATCATCTCTTCAATGTGTTTAGTATTAGAGTATTGTACAGATTTAATTATAATCTTATCACCTGTACATATAATTATGATCTTATGATCTATACAATACTCTAAAATAATTTACTCATCAAAGATTTAAAAAGGATATATATTGAATATACCGAATAAATATATTCAAAGGTGAGTGCGTGCTTAATTTTTTATTATTTACAAACTTTCAGACTTTTAAGTAATTTTGAGCATACAAATTTTTGACAAATGTTCATCTCATTTCCTAGCAGATTTCTTGATTAAAAAAGAAAATGACAGAATTGTGAAACGACTCGAATATACTAATATTAAGTCTATTCAAGTATCATTTCTTCAATTATGTTCATGAAAATATGAACTTTGCACAAACATCCATATTTATCATTAACAAAGAGTATGTTTGAATTTGCGTGAACGAAAAATTTCAGCTTTCTATGAGGATAAATTCGAAAGTTCCTGGATTAAATTAATAGTACGTAGTAACACATAAGCTTCTTAGGCTCTGTTCGTGGATATTGCTTGAAATAGGTAAAAATTAGGTGTCATGATTGTTTAGAATCTACTTAATTTCGTTTACTTAAAATATAATAAAGTTCTGGTATTTTTATTTAAATGTAGCTTTCTATAGGAAGCCAAGATTTTTTTCTTTAATCCATTAAACAGCAAACAATAATGTATCACGATGTTATAAATACTCTTCAATTTCTTGAAATTTTCTAAAATTATAGCGTTTAAGTAAGAAAATATAACGATGAATGAATATTAGGCAAATTTCCTTTCGTAGCCTGAATATTGGAAATTAGAATTTGGTAATGTATCTGGACTAATTGAAAAGTGGATGAATGGATTAAATATCTGCTGGAAGATATTTTTCTACTAAAATACGTATCTTTTTAGAAAGAATTTATCAGCGTGTATAAACCTTCAACACTGATAATTTCTCTCTTTTTGCAAATGTTATCGTTTCTACAAATCACACATTTCTTATTTTCTCGAGTTGCTCGATTTTAGTTTCATTTTTTTTTTTTTCACTTAACTCGTCGCGAGCAATCTGGATCATTTATATCCGGTGTCAAATCTCACTCTTGAATTCGAAGTGAATTTTTACCTTTGCTAATTATTCATTCAAATATTTGATTCAAAGATCGATCGTACATTTAGAGTGACGATTTCGAGTATCTCAGAATTTTTTCAGATCCTTTAAAAAGTCAGAAACAATATTAAATATTAGTTATGGTTATAAATCAGGGTTGGACATTCATCGACTAGAATCGTTAGATCGAGTGATTAACTGATTGAATAAATCAATAAATAAAGGTAATCGTCTTTCGTTGATTGAAGAAAATTAATCGTCGATTTATTGAATCGATTAATCATGTTAATCGTTAATTGTCAATTTATCAATTTACATTGAATTTATATTGTAATTTCATATATTTTTAAAATTGTAATAAAGCGTTTAGAATTAAGATATTTAATCGAAATGATACATATTCTTGATTTATACTGTCGAGAAATTTATATATCCAGCTGCAAGCCTAATTAATTCATTTTGGACTCTTTCAAAATTTATTAAATAAACAATAGTAAAAAAAACTTTTATTATTTTTATTATTAAAAGATTATTATTAAAAACCATTATTATTTATATATTTTAACATTATTATTTATTATTTCGTTGTAATAAAGCATTTAGGATTAAGATATTTAATCGAAATGAAACATATTCTTGGTTTATACTGTCGAGAGGTATAGAAATTTATATATCCAGCTGCAAGCCTAATTAATTCATTTTGGACTCCTTCAAAATTTATTAAATAAACAATAATAAA